GTGCGGGCCCCAATGTCCCTCCCTGGATGGGTTCCTGTAGTTACAGAATGTCCTGCCTTGGAGGGCCAGACAAAAGGAGTGTTCGTGTGGGCAATGTTATCACTCTCTCTCCATTTGACAGATAAGAGACCTTAAACACCTTTTAATCACAGACAGAATTGAATGAGAAGATAGGCAGAGGCCAGAGCTCTCTCCCCCACCTCTCCCACTCCAGGAAGTGGTGTGTTTAGAATGCTGTGGTCTAGTTACCGGTCTGGTCTCTACTCCTCTGGCTCCTTCCTGTCTGTTAGGACTGACCACACCTGAACCACTCCATCCCCAAGCTGCCCTTAATGCAGCTCCATGAGCAAAGTCAAAGGCAAAAAAACAGCTGCGCTTGGCAAAGGGCCCTCTGACACTCCACCCCACTCGCAGTTGGGAAGAAAAGGCCCTGAGCTTAACTCTCCCACTAACATCCTGTAAGGCTGCCGCCAAGCCATTTAGCTCTCAGCCCTCATTTGCTTTGTGTGTAAAATAGTTCACCTCTCTTTTTGACAGAGGGATAAACTAGGAGAAACTGTTTTGTCAGACTGTAAAGTACTATAAAAATATAAGATATTATCATTGTTGTAGTTAATGTCTCCTTTCTCTGAACAAATGTGCTCGTGTCAGAACCACACAATAGCACTTAACATTTTCAACCGCCGCTGAGTTCCAAACGACTTGCCATTCCCTGCAGGTGCTGTGCTCTTTCTCGTCTCCCTGCCTATGTCTCTCTACCTGTGCTCATGTTGACTTCTAGTTATCTCCTACTAGTCCTTCAGGACTCCACTCCAAGGACACTTATTCCCGGCATTCTTTCCTGACCACCTCCCCCTGCAGTCTGAACAGATGCCCCATCTCTGCATGTCCATGGTTCCCCGGGCTCCCTCTGTTGCTTGCTGCCTTCTTTGTCTCGTCCACCAGAACAGAAACTCTGGCACTGCAGGGCAACTGTACTATTCTGTTAGGGCTGCCGTAAGAAAATACTGGGTAGGTTAAACTACAGAAATTTATTTTTTCAGAATTCAGGAAGCTGGAATTTGGAGATCAAGATCAAGGTGTCAGTGGAGCTGGTTTCTTCTGAGGCCTCTCTCCTTGGTTTGTCAATGGCCACCATCCTGTGTCTGTGTCCTAATCTCTTCTTCAGAGAAGGACACAAGTCATCTGGGATTAGGGCCCATCCCAAACGTAACATGGTGCTGAGCTAGAGTTCCCCAAAATGGGGGAAAACCCCCACTAACCTGGCTTGGGGGTAGGGGAAGCTAGCGAGATTATTGAGAATTACTTTGCATATCTAAAGAACGTGGCTAGTGTTTTAGTAATGCTAATAGCTGTGCTTGCAGAATTTGGAGCCAAGAAGATGCATGTGACTAACCCTTGATGCAACGGGGAGGCAGTCCCCTGGTTACTGTGCTTGCTCCGCGGCCTTGGAGGCAGTTCCGACCTCAAGGGACTAAGCCTGCCTGGACTAACAATGGCGGCTGAGAAAGGCAGACGAAATCAGAGTACTGGCAGGTGTAACCTTTTGTGGGAGGAGTCGGAAATGGGATTACGGAGGGAGATCCGCCCCAGGGATTTAAACCCAAACGCAGTTCGCTGTGCTGGTTTAACAGTGCGGCTTGGGAAGGAGAAGTTCTGGGTTGTGGGGCTTGGCAGCAATCTTGGCCCTGGGGTTAGAAAGGATGCAGAAGGACCCCCACTGGCCCACTATGAGAATGGCCGTGCATTTTTGGGTTAATAGCAGGAGCCCAGCTGAGCCCAGACAACTGGAAGAAGCTGGAATACAGACGGGAATCTGCCCAGCTAAGCTACAGACTTCTGTATCTTTTCCTGAGAGACAGTATCCCTCACTGGTTTGGCAAGGGGTGGCAGGACTGTGTGATTATGGGTGTGTTTGGTTGGTTTGTTTCTAAAGGGAGTGGGACCTAAAAACAGAATTCCACCATTACTGAGAACTTGTATAACTTTTGAATAAATCATTCCTTTCCTTTTACTAAGACTCTGGCATTGGGAGCCACATCTCTTGTTAGTGGCAGGCAATAGAACCCAGAGGAACAGAACCCAGAGTGGTTCTGTTTCAGTCTGGTGCCCAAATCATGACTGTGATAATTGCCTGTGGCAGGCCGACCCCCTCAGGAGCAGGAGAGTGAGACCGGAATTTCCCAGTCTCTGAGAATTTCTCTGCGCTCTTCGTGAGGGCATTAGCCATCTAAACACTCCTGGAAGGTGAAAAGGAAACGGATCTGGGAAAGGATCAACAAGTGAAACGGTTTGGCTGAAAATTTGTTTCTGAGCACTGTTTTGGAATAATGGAGTTGTGGTTAATAGCTTTGGTTTATATGCTGCTTCCAGGTTGTCCTGGTCTGCTTGCTTACACAAAGATCCCATTTTAATGTTTTCACCTCTTTAAAGACCCTATCTCCAAATACAGTTGCATTCTGAGAGACTAGAGCTCAGGGCTTCAACATACAAATTCTTTGGGGAAACAATCCAACACTTAGCAGGGACCTCGCTTTTGTGTCCCTACAACTTTTTACTGACACAGAAAAAGTGTGCAATAAGTGCTAGTTCATTGAATAAATGAAGAAATGAACAGGTAGGAATTATACATATTTTCTCAACTAGAGCATAAGCTACTTGAAGACAATGAAAGCACACTAGATTTGGAATTGGGAGACCTGGATTATTCTTTGCTTTATATTAGTAGAGAAAGAGATCTTTCTGGGAACAGCATCAAATTATGCTCTTTAACCTGCATCTAACATGCCTGTTTCTCTCCTAAAGGCATTAGAGAATCAGAGCATTTATTTTTCAAAATACTTAGAGCACTTGCCAAATTCCAAGCTCCTACAATTTCAGCTTAAGAAAATGCCATTTGCTGCTCAGAAATTTATTGTTGGTCTCCCTTTGCCTGCTACATTCTTCCAGTGAAAAGCCATGTTTCCCTGCAGGATAAGTGATTCTTCCTTAGCCACTTACTAATCGCTGGGGAATCTGTTGTTTTTACTACTGTAGCTTCATTACTCTTTAGTGTTCATTCAGCCTAACAGCATTTTAGAATGGGAAGGAGATTTAAACATTATGGAATTTGGAGCTTTAGACCCAAGTTTGAATCTTGCCTCTTTGGACTAACTAAGATTTCCTCATCTGTCAAATGAGGAGAGTAATATTTCTCAGACATATTTTGAGTATTAAATAGGATAACAAAGGCCTTGTACATAAGAGGATTGAATTACTATTAGTTTATTTCCCCTTTTTATTTTGTAGATGAGTAAATAAAGGCCCAGATTAGTAGAAAGCTCTAAGCAATATCAAATCATCAGTATTTAAAACAAGCCAGAGTTTGAACACTGATGTCTTTAAAAGCTTTTTTTTAAATTTCATTGTTGTAAGAACACTTAACATGAGATCTAAGTATACAATGTATTATTGTTGACTGTATGTACAGTATTATACAACAGATCTCTAGAACTTACTCATCTTGCTTAACTGAAACTTTATGCCTAATTATTCACAATTCCCCATTTTCCTCTCCCCTTGCCCATGACAACCACTATTCTACCCCTTGATTCTATGAATTTGACTATTTTAGAGATCTCATATAAGTGGAATCCTACAGTATTTGTCTTTCTCTAATGGACTTGTTTCACTTACTATAACATCCTCATGGTTCCTCCATGTTGTCACATATTTTAGAGTTTCCCTCTTTTTCGAGGCTGAATAGTATTTCATTAGTATGTATTATCCCTAATGTCTTGATTTCAAGTCCAAAACTAATTCTTTTGCCCGCATGTTGGATTTATGAGATCTCTTAACTACCCACGAAGGAAGTAAGCATTTTTAAACAACAAGCAAGTATCTCAGTTGGCAAGTCACTGAACATGGAATGGCAAACATTTAAAGAAGAAGTGCACTAGTTTTCGATAAGAAACTGGCATCCAACACTCGGGGATCTCATGGACAAGTGATGACAACTTCCCTTGGGATGCTCTGCCATCCAGGCTAGTCTACTGGGTGATAGAAGTATAAAATTCAGGCCCAAGGGTGAAATCACGTAAAATGTGTTTCCCCAAAATATGCACTCACTCCTGCCTTCAGCATTATTCTCTGGATGTTTCTGGAACTTTAGGCAGAGGATTAATGCTTTCACTTGAAGACAGAAGCCTCCTCATTAGATTTCCAGCCTCTTTTCAATTCATCTTACTGTTGACATCAGAATTCTCTTTCCAGGACACAGATCTGATCTTGTCACTCCTCTGCTCAAAAATTCTACATGGTTCCCAATTTCTACAGGATGAAGTGCAGAATTTTTTAAAAGATTGTCTTTCTTTCTTTCTTTTTAGAGAAAAGGGGAAGGGAGGGAGAAAGAGAGAGAGAGAAATATTGATGTGCCAGAGGAACATCAATCGGTAGAAACATCAATTGGTTGCTTTTCACATGCATGCCAGAGGGGAACCCAGCCCACAACCCAGATATATGCCCTGACCAGGAATCGAGCCGGCAACTTTTCAGTGTGTGGAATGACACCCAATCCACTGAGCCACACCAGTCAGGGAGAAGTACAGACTTTTTAATGCAGGGAATACAAGTGTGTATTTTAAAATACTTGTATGCATCTGGCCAGATTGTATGTGTGTGAGTTTGCTCATGCTGCCACAACAAAATGCCACAGACTGCATGGCTTAACAACAGAAATTTATTTTCTCAGAGGTCTGGAGGCTGGAAGTCTAAGGTGTTGGCAGGGTTGGTTTTTCCTGAGGCTTCTCTTCTTGGCTTGCAGGTGGCTGCCTTCTAGCTTTGCTCTCACATGGCCCTTCCTCTGTGCACACATGCCCTTGGTGTTTCTTTGTGTGTCCAATTTCCTCTTCTTATAAGGACACCAGTCAGGTGCCTCACACCCTCACCGTCATCTGAGTTGCCGCCGCCACCACTGCACTGGGAAGGAAGAAAAGGCCAAAGCCCAACCTCTTCCTGCCAAGATGTCTATTGGTGTGCCAAATAAAGTCCTACATGAAGCCGAGGGTCACACTGCTGCATGTGAGACAAACGCCAGCGAGGTGTATCATGGGAAGCCCATTGAGGTGGGAGACAACAAGATGTCCAACATCACAGTCACACACAGAGATGGCCAAGTGGCACAGCTGGAGCAGGTGTTCATCCGTGGGAGCAAGGTCTGCTTTCTGACCGTGCCTGGCATGTTGGAGAACGCACCCAAGTTAAAGAGCAAGAAAAATAAAAACCAAGGCTCAGGGCCTGGCCAGGGAAGAGTTGCCATTGGGAAGGTCCCAGTGGCCGCACAAGCAAGAGCATGTGGAAACATCCTCTAGCCCTGGTTTTTTTCCTTTTAGGTTATCTGGGTTCCATGGCATGGGTGCTTATGTACATGTCCTAGATTTTCTTTTGACATCTTTCTCTTTAGATCAGGAGAAATGTTATAATAAATAAATGCTTTTTTTTATCTTTTTGAGAGGAAAAAGGACACCAGTCAGATTGGATTAGGACTCACTCTAATGGCCTATTTTAATTTAAACACCTTCAAAAGCCTTATCTCCAAACATAGCCACACTCTGAGGTACTGGGCTTTACAGTTTCAAAATATGAATTTTGGGAGGGGATGCAATTCAGTCTATTACAATATGTATGCATTAGATATTTTAAAGCCACACATTCTAGAAAGAGTTTGTTAAAGAGGTATTGTATTATAAATTAAATTATTTGGTTAATTTTTATAGTTCAGATGTAAAGTCTCTTTGATGGGAAGACCAAGAATTTGATACCACTGAAAGTAAAACTGGCTTGAGATGGAAGCTGAGAACCGCCATAGTGGAGCTCCGAGAATTAAAGCTGCTACTAGGTCTCAATCCAGATTTCCGGGTTCATTGTGATCTAAGATTCCATCTTATTTAACTTTGTATCCCCAGCCCAACATCTAACAAGGGTTTGATCATTGCTTTTTTTTTTTTTATATGAAATGAAATCAACTACTGCAGAGCCCTGCCCCTTCCATACCATGGTTATCGGTCTCACTAAGTATCATTCTCTTTCCTAAGCATGTCTCTCCTTCGTGTCTTTACACCTGGTGTTTTTACATCCTTGACTGTTCTTACCCCCAAAATCAACATAGTCATTGAAACCTGATATATATATGTCACAAACTCTCCCTTCTTTATTCTCTCATTGCATCATGTATGCCTTATGACTTAGTGAATATCAGAATGTGTTTCAAAGGTCAATTCTCCTGTCTCCCTCACTAGACTTTATACTCTCCCCAAGGGCTATAAAAATGTTCCATCACATATGAGGGACTTAGTTAGATGAGTGAGGCTGCAATTCTGCACAGTGGTATGAATGGTGGCCATACACATGGATGGACCAAAGGAAGGAGTTTGCCTTAGCCTTGTGGTTTTTCCTGACCCAAGAGCATCTACAAGCCGAGGCTGACTCCAAGCCAGATAGAGGAAAGAGATCCTTTTATGATGAGTCCCCAGGATGCTCAGATCTACCCTCAGAGAGCACCCAAACCAAAATAACAGCCTTGGAAGTGGATTACTCCACTCCCCCAGCACACTCCCCTACCTCTCAGTCACTCTGCCATCTGCTCCTGGCACCAGGAAACTATCAGTCCAGGTCTTATGCTGCTATAGATAATGAACAAGAATGATCTGTCTTTGACAAATGTACATGACATTTGGTAAGTGAGGATGGGGGTGAAGAGGCAGATATTTTGTTATGTACTTGACTGGGAGAGAAAATACAAAAGTACGAATAATTGTCTCTGGGTGGTATTATAGTTTTCCTTATTCTGCAGAATAGGTTGCATTGTCCTAATTTCCTACAAATGTCGTGCTTGACTTGTATAGTTGAAAATAAAGATACATATTATAAGCAGAATAAAGCCCCATCATAGCATCCTAGAGTCCCTAAAATTCAATTGCATAAAACGTGGGGTCTTGGTATTATGAGATTACTGGAATGACTAGGGCAAACCAAAGCAACCAGTCAGGGGGTATTTTGGGGGTCAGTTATTGCCACGCAAATCTGTCCCTGCCCTGGCTGTGGTTTGGTACTTCCTACTGGGAGTGGACAACGGCAGCAATTTGCACACAGTTTTAATTAGCTGATCCTCATGTTATCAACCCAATATTGGGGACACTCGGCACCCTTTGCAAAACGGAGCTGTCTGCCTTCCTGGGCACACCTCCTCAGAGGAAAGGTGGGGAGATGTTGTGGGAAGTGGCAGGCAAGGTCAGTTGCCTCATCTCTGCATTTGTGTTATGGGGGAGAGTCTTTGCCTTGAGAGTTGTGGCTACCGCAGAGGGGCTTCCCTCAGATCTCCCTTCAAGGAAGGAGTTGCTGCTCAGCTCCCAGGAGTGCAGTTAGCCGATGGCTTCCCATTAGCATCTTAGGATCTGCCTCAGATTTGAGCCGAGGCCATGCTGTTTCTCAGCAGCTCCCAGCCAACAACTAAGCACGGTGGAAATTCTGGGCCCTGGCTGTGACTGCCCAATGTCGGGCTCTTCTGATGGGCAATCTTTGTTCCAGTGAGTTGTCCAAGACTCGTCAGATCTACATCATGGTTTGAGGCTCTTCCTGCACAATTCTGGTGCTTCTCCCTTTTATCATTTAAAAAAATATTTTATTTATTTATGTCTTTAGAGAGAGAGGATTGGAGGGAGAAAGAGAGGGAGAAAAACAGTGATCAATTGCCTCTCACAAGCCCCAAACTGGGTAACCGGCTTACAACCCAGGCATGAGCCCTGACGGGAATTGAACTGGTAACCTTTCAGTTCCCTGGACTGCATTCAATCCACCAAGCCACATAGGCCAGAGCCCTTTTATCTTCTATAGGAATTATCTGCAACAAACCTCTAATACTCATAACTCCAGTTCAGTGGACCCTACTGACAGTTTTACACACACACACTCACATTCACGGGTAAGGGATCCATGAGTATCACTAACACCTAAGCCATCTATGCAGCATGGAAGAACATACTCATTTAGCTAACATATGCTAAGTACCTACTGTGTGCAGGAGCATGGTTTCTATACTTAACAAAGCCCTGTCTAACAGGGAGACAGAGGAAAAGAGATCAGCAAAATACATTGTAATATCTTTGTGCATGAAAGCATGCTTCTAATGGTTTAAGTAAATGAAAACCTAATGAGTTCCCAATGTTCTCATCCCACTGTTTTTGCAGTTGAGCAAACATTCCTCTTGCAATCTTGTTTATTATTTTGCTTTGTAAAGCTTTTTGCTACTGACACAAGAAAGTTGAACCAGAATACACATCCAAATGGGAAATTCTACTAAATTCTAAATTGGGGATTTGAATTCATGAGTTCCTGAATAACAGAGTTGATTATTGTATTATCCTTAGTATGCCAGTTCCTCGTGTTTTGTTGGTTTTGGGCCCTGAAATGACTAATGATCAGCAGACCTAATAAAGACAATAAAAACTGAAGTCCAGAAATAATAAGACTTAAGCCCATAGTCACATTAAAGCCAATAATAATAATAAGCCTCTACACATATATTAAAGCCTAAGCTCAGTAATTGTACCTGTAACCTAAGGAACTAAGAGCAAGCAACTTCTGACAGGAGAACCAAGAACACAGCCGAGGAGCCAATATTCTGCAGCATCACAGTGGGTTTTCTCTGTTCTAAGGAACTCTAAAAGGATTTATTGCCACCCAGGGGGAGTTCACAGCAAGGTGGAAGTTGGGCCTGATATTAGTTTTCTGAATCACTTATAAAAGGGCCAGAGTTATATTTTTGTATCTTTGACACACATGTATACAGCTGTGTGTATGCATGTGTGTGTGTGTGTGTGTGTGTGTGTGTGTGTGTGTGTAAAAAGTAGTCTGTCCGGAAAAAGTCCAGTCATTGTCAATATAATGAGAATGGTTTGCATGACATCGGTGTATCTCGGCAGGTAAGGAGTAAGGAGAGTGGACTGGAATGCACATGTGCAAACAATGATGACTTCACTGTACTAGTCAGTGGGGGTGGTAGACGCCATTGAGTGAGCATGTGTGCTGTTTGGCCATCACATTCAAAATGACTGAATGAGTACAGCAAAAAAATCTACATCAAATTTTGCATTAAGCTTGAACATTCCTCTGCAGGAAATATTCAGATGATTCAGGAGGCCGCAGCTTTGGGCAGCTGGTGATTGGCAGCTTCATCATGACAACACGCCTGCTCATGCATCATGACTTGTGTGCAATTGTTTTGCGAAACATCAAACCCAGGTGAAACCCAGGTGACTCAGCCCCTCGACAGCCCAGATTTGGCGCCCTGTGACTTCTGGCTTTTCCCAAATCTAAAATCACCCTTGAAAGAGAAGAGATTTCAGAGTGTCAATGAGATTCAGGAATATATGATGGGGCAGCTGATGGTTTTGAGAGAACTATGTGAGGTCCCAAGGTACCTACTTTGAAGGGGACTGAGGTGTCATTGTCCTGTATACAATGTTTCTTGTATCTTGTACTTTATCCTATATATACACAAGTTATGTCCAGAAGGTATCCAGCCATATACCATGAAAAATACATTTACTGAAGAAGATACAAGAAATATTGTACATTGTATGTATACATATTTCATATGCATTTCAGAAAAAGCCAGAACTAATGTATGGTGATAGAAATGAGAACATCTGTTACCTAGGATAGGGTAGGACAGATTGACAAGAAAAGGACATTTATCTGGGTAATAGGAAAGTTCTATATCTTAATTAGCATGGTGCTTATAAGGGCATAAACAATTGTCAAAACTCATTGAACTGTACACCTAAGATTTGTGCAAATTATTGTAAGTAAATTATACTTTTGAGAAATCCTAATGCCTAGGCCATTCTGTAGTCCAATTAAATCAGTCTCTGTGGGTAGAATCTAGGCATAAGTATTTTTATAAAGCTCCCCAACAAGGGCTTCATCTTCCACTAAAAACTCCACCATGATGTTTCCATTAAATAAAGAAAAAACAAAACACAAAGCTTTTTTTTTTTGTATCTTTTAATGGAGCTAGCTCAAACCAGAGCCAAATTTTAAAAATGATTACTATTTCTCCCACTCCATTCATATTTTTTAATGTATCACCACTGACAATGAAAAAGGAAAGGGGACTAACATTTACTGAGCACCCACCATGTGCCAGGCACTATATTCTGCACTTTACACGCATCATCTGATCTTTGGAACAATCTTTTTGGTCACTATTATCTCCGTTGGAAAAGAAATTATGAATGTTTAGTATCACTAGCCTATAAGTGGAACCTAATCAACAAAACAAGCAAGAAAAATATAACCAGCAACATTGAAA